CTGCTCCAGGCAGGAAGAAAAAAAAAAAAAGAATAATTCATTTACATCGGCTTTGTCATGAGATTGGCTGTAGTGCATTGTGTACAGGGTAGCACAGACAAAAGTTGCAACTTCTACCTCTCGTGTGATAGCAAGCTCTAGCTTGCTTAACACTTCACTGGGCTTGGAGGTGTACCGTCCGGCACAGCTTCGTCTTGTACGCTGCTATTGCAAACCTAAGCTGATCTCCTAAGAAATGAGAGCACAGAGCTAGAAGAGTGGAACTAAGGCAGAGAAAAAAGACAAATGGGAAGGTTGACAACAGCTGGATTTTAGTCTCTTGCCTCTCTTGTTCAGACTTTAGGCGATGCTGAGGGGGATGACCACATAGTTTTCCTATTTCGGTTGATTGTTTCTTGCTAGGATGTCTTTTCAGTTTAGTGCAAGGACCTAGCAGTACCATGGTGGCTCATAGGCATCAAGGAGGTAGTAACAGCCATTCACATGAAGGCTACCTGAGTGGTCAATTCGCCCATCAGCAGTGTCCCTCCTGCAGTTATACAGCATCTGGAAAGAGTTACAGGCTCACTGAGTTACGTTTAGGATGCTGACATACCAATATGCAGGCATTTCTGCATGTCTAGGGGCCCCAAACATCTTGCATCATGTTTTACATAAATTAAATCTATGGCTTGCGTTAGTCTTTCCTGCATTTGTTGATTTTCATGAACTTTTTAACCTACTGGTCAGAAGTTTCATAAAGAAGCCGAGCTGTGTTTTAACATCATGTTGTGATAGGGTCACACCATCCCCTAAAGAAGACAACCCTGGTGCCCTGACTTTTGCAGACAGATGCTTAACTGGGTTGAAAATAACAAATTTGTTTGGAAAGTTAAGAGAAAAAGAACTCTGCAATCATTTATTACTGCATGGCATCATTAGTACTGAGCAAGGGACACGCATATCTGATCAACTGATTATGGTTCTTGGCCCTTACTCTATTTGCCTATACCAGTGTCCAACAGAAAAAAGAACAAAAGGATTTTGTCAGAAAATCCCTGCAGGCTGTGGTGTTTCCTTTTTCCTCTCATTTTCTGGAGCCAAATACTGAGCGTGGTGAATTGAGCCTTGAACTATTGGTAAGGACTGGTTTAGCTGTGGAAGGGTTCCATGTTTAAGAACAGAACAAAGGCCTTAATAGCAGCATTTAAATGGGTAGGCAAAAATAGCCATGATGCTATTATATCTTGTTGAAAAGACTCTGAGATTGTTTCCTTTATCTTAGTAGGGCTGTTCTGATAGTTGGCCTTCTTTTCAATGTCTGGCTTGCGTTATGTTTGTTTTTAAGGAGGATGACCACTATATAGGCTATTTCCAGCTTTGGGGGCATGCAGTTGCTGAATGGGCCAAATGTAGCAGATCAAGTGAGGCTATGTTTGATTAAACTACATCCGCTGATGGTCAGTAAACAGGGCCAGAACCACCTGATGGCTGTATTAATTGTTGTTCCCTTTCAGGGAAAGCTGACAGCAAGAGAACGAATTCTTCTGCTGCTGGACCCCGACAGTTTTGATGAGTATGATATGTTTGTGGAACACAGATGTTCTGACTTTGGGATGGACTCTAATAAGAACAAGGTATTTTTATTTCAAGTATCTCTTGTTTCTTTGTCCTTGGCTGTTTAGCCAGCCAGCTGGTTGAAAATAGGCTCCTCTGTTCACATGTAATTTATTTGTTTTGTTTTCTTTCATTTTTGTTTTGCAAATTTCCTTTTATTACTCTCAGTTTCCATTTAACAGCTTACGCGGTTTACTTTTCCATTGTCTAAACTTGATACCTTTTTTATAATGTCAGCTGTTTCGTTCAAATACCTCCCCAGGTATTGTCTTAGGCCTGTATTTTAAACAATAGCAGAGGCTGCAGAGCTTTGTTGTTACAACTTTGTTGATCAAGTTGGATACCAAGAACTGGGTAAATACTTCTGCCTCCCTACAGATAACGTTAGGGTTAGAGGATGAAATAATGCAGACCCGTATTTATGCCTACCCAACTATGGAGTCATAGAATCCTTTAGGGCCTTAAAATCTGATATGTTTGGAAATTCAAGCATTCATGCTGGGCTGTTAGCAAGTTGCGGTCTGCTTTCTTATGCGGTTTTCAGATATATGGCCATGTATCCTAAACCAACATGGTATGTGAGGTCCATCATGTAGAAGAAAAATCTACGGCTCCCCAGAGTCTCTCACCATAACATTGATGCCTGATAAATTACTACATGGGAGAAATATTTTGTTGTGATTTAGTACAGAAAGGACCAGCGAACATGCTGGGATGTGTAGGTGGCTAGTGCAGATGTGCCTGTTCAATGTGAATCTTCCTGTAGCAAAAGGCCCTATTTGCTGTGGAGTATTCTGATGTGGGGTGTGATGAGAAGCTGCTCTGTATGTGCCGCTGCTCCATGCTGCGTACGACAACTACGACTTCTGTCTATGCGGTTACTAAACCAGTTCATCAGTTTTCCAGTACTTCAAGTTGCAGGGCTGCATCCTATGGATGAGGGAGGGATCAGCAGGCTTCCACCATGAGCAGCTGGGGCATTGGGAAATGGCAAAGGCAAAGGATTTGTTTTCAGTCTAGTAGCCAGCAGACTGATGGGACTTGGTGCTAGGAAGGGTGTTGTGTTAGACCTTCTCCCCTCTCAATCAGTGTAGGAGCAAACATCTTTTCTTCTCTAAGTAATTTTTTTACTCTGTTCCCCAGCAAACTCAAATAACTGCTGTGTTGCCTCTCATCGTGCTACTGAATGCTGCATCCCACAGTGCTGATAGCAAATTGCTGTTTCTGAAGATATGAGGAGCAGCAAAGTCCTGAGAGTGACAAGAGGGTTAATTTTTTCCTTGTCCTTCAGCAGTCACCTTTCAGTGAGCTGCAGATCTTATTTACAGAGCACAGTTTCACAACGGATGACCTAACTGTGGCCAGTGAGCTGGAATATTAGTTTAGCATTGAATTTCTCTGAGTTCCTGGAACTTTCTGAAGGTGGGGTAAGACTTGTACTCACATCCAGGCCGCTCTGCGGGCTTCTTGGGTTTTTAAGAGTCATCCATGTGAGACAGTGGCTGGAGCTACAGGAGTGTGTGCCGAGAGCCATGAGTTGGTAGCAGTGCTGTCTGTGCAGCCTGAGAAGAGTCCCCAGACCAGTATGACCTTCCTGAGAACAGATTGCCTTGAGCATAAAAGGCCCTTAGAGTGAGCCATACTCTTTTTTTTCCTTCTCTTTTTTTTTTTTTTTAATATAAAACAGCAAAAAGCATTTAAGTGGCTGGAATACCTTTATGACAGCCCAGTAAAGTTCATTTTCTACTGTTGTCTTGAAAGACTTCTATATTTGATGTTTGACAATATTCTATATTGTCTTGAAAGACTTCTCCTTTACTAAAAAGTGAGACAACATGGATAAGCAGATTTTAAGATTCACGGGCTCCATTTCCTTTTCCAGCTCTTCCTTCTTGCTTTAATTATAAGGTGAAAAATGGGACAGGTCGCGTTGAAGTCTTTGAGGTGACTGTAACTGTATTTTTGACCTTTCCAGAGTTGTTGTTTTCCCTGTATCAACACCTCAAGAAAGGTTTGTGTGCAGTGTCTGTTCTTTCAAAAACATCAGCTGGACCTAATAAAAGGTACATCCTGCCTCTAAGGACATGATTTGCCTTAACTCCAGATGTGCTGAAATTTGAAGGAAAACTGCAAAGTTCACTAATCTTTACACTAAAACACAACTAATATGTGATATTACCTTTATCTTTCCTTTCCAGGGCTGGGGGAAATATTTGTGGAGCCCCCGCTGCAAACGTGAAAGACCAGTCCTCTTGGAGAAATCAGTCTTTGCTTTGACATAAGTTTGTGGGTTTTTAAGTGGATGTCATTGCTGCTTTGATTTTATTTTTAATTAATTTATTTGTTTTTTAACACAGTATCCTGGAGACAGTGTGGTGACTGGCCGCGGACGGATTAATGGGAGACTGGCTTATGTTTTCAGTCAGGTACGGTTTTGCTTGTTTTTTAAATAGCATGAACTTATCCTTTGAAATAAATTCACAGTAATTCGGTGTGGCCATGTAGTGATGTACCTGTTTGCCTTCTACCAATAAGCATAAGATAGACTTAACATCTTGTGGGAGGAAGCAGGGCACCTTCAGAAAAGAAGAAGCAAAAAAGCATTTCTAAAAACTTTATCAGGTGGTAGATGCAGTTGTGACAAGGGTGAGATGAAAATAGTGAAGAACGCAGAGCCAGTGGGAATGTTTTGAAAAAAAAAAACAACCTGTTATTACTTCAGTGTATTATCATTGGATATTGATATGCTGAGAGGCTGGAGGAGTCCCCCAAACCAACGTTTTTGATAACCAAGTAGTGAATTAATGGAGAAGTCACTGAGCGCTGTGTCCTTTATGCAGTTGCAAGCTTTGGCTCTGACCTTGCAGTTGGATGTGGGTGGATGAGCTCCTGCAGGCGTGTGGAGACCTGCAAGTGTCAGTGGAGGGCTTTGCGGTTCTGAGAACCATCTTCTGGGCTTTGGGCTGCAGAATGGGGGCTGTTTGCTGGAGATGTCAACTGGAATTGCAATGAGTGGAATTCATGATAGAGGGCACTTGAACAACCTTGAATTGTTTCTCAGGTTTGAACACTCTGATCAGTTGAAGGGATTGTGATAGATAGCATATAAATAGATAGATAAAATCTATTTTTTATGTTAAAATATACTTTTTATATTAAAATAAAAATATTTTAGAGGAAACATCATAGGTAGAGATTTATCTTGGTTAACTCTTAGCACAGTCTGAAATAAAGCCTTTCTTTCAGATCATTGGTAACTGCTTCTCTGTTCTGGGCCACAAAGTAGCCTTTGTTCAATTTGCTATCATGGCCAAAATGATTGTTGCTGTGTGACCTTGGAGCAAGTCGTACACCCTGCCTTTTTTGTCTTGGATATGTAGTTCTTCAAGGAAGGGCACTGTTATGTGGGCCTGAACATAAGATTGGAGACAAACAGAGACCTTAATTTTAGAAGAACACAGGTAGAGGGCAGTTCTTGTGTTAAAAGAATTTAAATGTGTCCCTTCATGATATGCCTCTTTTTTTTTTTTTTTAGTATACGTATGTATATATTTAAAGACCTTTTTCTTCTCCAAATCGAGCTGCCATCTGAGATGTTCCTTCCTTTTTGGTTCAACTGCTAGTCATAGTCATGCTGTTCCTTGTCCACACAGTTTTTAGGACTTCTTTGACTCAGTGGATATGCATCAGTGAAGCTCATCAGAAGTTGGCTCTGGGTTCTATTGGTACCAGTAGGTGTCAATATCCCCTTTCTCTTCTGGATCAGTCCCAGGGCCTCGTGTTGCTTGTTCAAGGTCTTACTGCTCAGGCCCAGGGTTGTACCAACAGTCGGTTTTGGCTGACATAGTCCCTACAGCACCCATAAAAGAATAATCGACTCTTGGAACATAACTCATGAACACAGAACAGTGGCGTATTTTCAGTTTTTTATTTCTGCCTGTTTGCAGGCATATCTTATTGCTGCCCCTTGCAGTGGGACCCTCCTCACAGCTGACGTTTCTCCAGACTACTCCACTTCTGATAACGTCCATGAAAGAGGAACATACGTTTGTAGAAAAAGAGAATGTTCCTGTGAAGGGAAAAAAAAAAAGCAAATGAGACATACTAAGTTTGTGATTTTTAACATAGAATCCACTGGCTAAATACATATAAAAGATCTTTACTTGTACAGAAGGCTTGCATTGAACAGGATTGGTCTGCAGGCTGCACTAGGGGAGTCGGGTTGTTTTGGAGCAGCATACCCAAATATAGAGCATTGTAGGATTGTACTGTTTACTTGCAACGTTTGTACTGAAATGATGCTTTGCCTAATCTGAAAATTTGTTTTCCTTCCAGGATTTTACTGTATTTGGAGGTAGTTTGTCTGGAGCTCATGCCCAGAAGATCTGCAAGGTAATATTTCACAGGAGAAAATAAAACAAAAAATTGTCAGTGCCTTTTTTTTTTTTTTCCAGTCTGTTGTGTTAATGACTTTGGAGTTTGCAACTGACTTTAGTGGACTCTGGCATATGTCATGGCAACCGGAAATTGCCTGCCACCTCATGTCAGTTAAGATGTGAAAGCACAGGCGAGCTGAGGGGTACCCTTTGGAAGCTTTTCAAGTATAAAAGAGCTTTTTCAAGTAATACGCGCTTTGTTTAAATTAAGTTGCCTTTTCTACTGTGCTACAGGAGACAAGAGAGACTTGCAAAGTACAAATATAAATTAACCATTGTCTACTGGAGAAATGTGAAATTTCTTGGGAGAAACTTTTTCCTGTAAACAGTGCTATGTGGAAGTGTGTAATATTTATAAAAAGCAAATGTAACAAGTAAACAATCTGAAGATAAACAGTTTTACAACTTGGAGGTCACCTTGATACTCAGAGCCTCTGTTATCAGGCACTTGTGGCTATTTATTCTCATTTGTCTGCTTGTCTCACTGGAAAAGCTGCTGTTTGAGTCCCAGGGGTAGGAAGGGCAGGAACGTTTTCTTGCCTGAGTGTTCAGTGGTGTGGGCTGGTGAAAATTTCCTGAATTTTCTTGGAATCAGAAACAAAGGGTTTGGTGTGCAACACCTTGTCTCCTGATGGAAATAACTACTTTCTTGCATAGGCTCCTCGGTAGTGAGAAGATTTAAAACTAGAAAACACAAAACCTTTGGGCTGGATAACTACTTGGCTTTACGAAGTCTTGCTATTGGGAAAGACTTGACACTGCAAAGCTCCAATATGAAAGGGTAGTGTCTCTTTGTGTTGGGGAGGGATGTACTGGTACTGGAATACTGGGATGCTTTCTGCTGTTTGGTGTTTTTTTTATCTCTTATTTCTAAAAAAGCAGGGAAAGTGCTAGTAGCAGAACTGGAAAAAAATGTGAGTCCTTCGTAGTCACCACTGTTCTTGGTTGGCATCAGCGTCAGTGGTAGGCTCCAAAGTTTGAAAGCTCAGGATGCATCAATTGCTTTGGGGCTTGGAGTCTTTGAGGCTGTAGCTCCAAAAAGGCTGGCTGGGTAGTGTGGTATCTGTCTCACTTCTCTTAGTTCTTCTTACTGGGGAGCAGATCTCTGTTCTGAGAGAGACTGTCTTGGCTCCTGCAAAACGTATTGGTGGCTTAAGGGATGTAAAATGTCATGGAACATGGAAGTGAATGAAGTTGCTCTCCCTAAGCTGGACTTCCCTGGAGATCGGCTACTTTGGTGGTAAAAATCTCCCATTTGGGATTTTTTTCCTGGAGCTGCAAAGAGGTAGCGATATTTGGCATCTCTCAGACCATGTTAAATTCCTGTAGTGGTTTCCCTGAAGCAGCAGAGTGTGGCTCTTTTGAGAGTAACAGGTGGCCACTTCTGCTGGGGAACGCTTTAAAGCCTATGTGTGCATCTATGATGTCATGTTTCAAGGCAGTTGTTGAGTCCACGAGATGAAGAAGTGTTTTCGAGAATGAATCCTGAAATGTTCACTACAAATACTGGTATGGCAAAGAAATATCTGGTCTTAAATGCGTGAACACGTTTTCTGAATGTGCATGTTGATGTGTGGTTTAGGAAGAACTTCAGTGTCTGGAAAAGCCTTGAAATAATTATTCCATATATAAGGCCCTGGAAAATAGCAAAATGTGTCAGTGAAATGGTTTCACTAACCTGTCCTGATAGGAAGAAGCAATAAATGTCAACTCATTTTTAATAAGGCATTTGATAATGCCTTGTGTAACATTTAATCCACACAGATGCTTTTTAAATGCGGGATTGTATTTAAATTGTAAAGTCATTCTGTGTGTCTGCCACGGCAATATTTCAACTTCTAAATGGACATCCAGGCACAAAGCATGAAAAACCCCTGGTTTACATTGAATAACTGCAAGTAGGAGCAAAGCCACTTCAGAGCTCCACAGAGAGGGTTCAGGCTGGAATTTAGGTACTGCTGGGATTCTATTGATTTGAATGGGACTGGGTATGCTTACTGTATTTCTAGGCAAAATAAAATTCAGGGCTGATGCTGCAAGTACTCTGAAAGACGGGACTGAAGTCTAAAAAAATCTTAACACGTAAAAGATTGTCTGAAATAAATTATAATTCTGTAACAATGATTGAAAGTGCTAGTACCAGGCAGCAAAAAGTAACTTGAATTTCAAAATGGGGATTGATTGACAATGTGTAGTTTTACAGAAAATTATTTAGGAGTTAAAGCAGATCTTAACGTTAAAACAGATCTTAATGTAATATGCCAGTGCTGTAGTGTTAGGAAAATGGCAAATGTTTTACTGGGATCTAGTGAACAGGAATATTTTATGTAAGGAATGTAAGGAATTCAATCCTCCCACTTAAGCCTCTGCTGGAATATTGCGTATGATCTTGAGGCAAGTAACCAAAATTATTAGAGGGCTAGAAAATAGGATGTAGAAAGAATTGTGACTGAATTGATGGTGATTAATCTAGAAACACAAAGGGAAGTATAAAGACTGGGGAGATTTGAGGTACTTGAATGTTTACGAAGGCAAAGTAGTAGTTAATTGCTCTCCCTGTCTACTGTATTTCACAAAAGAAGTAATGTTTCTGAATTTTTGGAGGGGAGATTTAATTTAGTCTTCTCAACTTGTAAGAAGGGTAATCAAGCACTAGAATACACTGCTTAGGGAGAGCATACAATCACCACTGCAATAAACTTTTAAGATCAGATTAGACCTATATGATGAAGCATTTAAGGTGCAGTTGAGACCTCTTATCAACAGAGATAGATTGGACCTCCCTGGTCCAAACTCCCGTGATTGTGTCACTTAGCACAGAGTTTGGATAATGCAGTGTGAGTATGGAGATGCACAGCTAGTAAGGCAGATAAATAGTAAAGGTCATGAGAAGGATTAAACATGGATCTCTGAGCCTTCAGTCTGAATGAGTCAAAACATAATGCCCCAGTAAGGAGTTAGTGACTGTCATAGTTAATACAAATAAAAGAGAAGCTGAGCTCTATGTACGCAGTTCAAATTCTGGCATGTACAGATTTCTTTCTAGGGGATGTACATTTTGGGGGTTGGTTGCTTTGGGATTGTAGCTTACCTAGGTCAATAATGAGGAGTTTGTATTCATCACCAGGTCATGGATCAAGCTGCCTTGGTTGGGGCGCCTGTGATCGGGCTGAATGACTCTGGAGGAGCCCGTATCCAGGAGGGAGTGGAGTCCTTGGCTGGCTATGCAGATATATTTTTGGTAAGTAGGCTGCTGGATGACCAGGAAGCTTGGCATCCACAAAGATGGACAAAGTCTTTCTTTACTTAAGTCAGTGTTTGTAAGTAAACTGTTAGGTTATCTTCATCCTTATCAGCCAGTGTAACCTGGTGGATTAAGCAGCATATATGAGGGCTTGTGAGACCTGGACTGTCCTCTTGGTTCTCTTCTTGGCTTTTGGCAAATTACTGTACCCCTTGGTTCCATTGGTTAAACAAGGATAATGCTGAGCCTTGTAAAACACTGTGATCCAGTGAAAAGCTCTGCAGGAGCTGCGCTATATAGTGAGCTTTGTCACAAGAATGAACGAATAGGCAATTTACTTAAACAGTTGTTCTAGGGTTTTCTTTCAAAGAACTTTCTGATTCACACTAATGTATAGATTGCCTGTGTTGGGGATGTAATTTCTCTCGAGTGTTTATCTGTTTGTCTGAGACAGGTGGGCATGCTGTAGTTCAGAGGGTGTTTTGTTAGGTGACTGATGGTTGTGATCCACCACCAGCTGTCCCCATGTCTGTATTTCAGAGGAGACATGTTACAACTTTCACACAGCAGATTTGTTTTTAATAGGGCTGATAAAAGTGGAAGATTTCCACTGCAGAAAGAAGGACTTAAAGTAAATCAAACAGTAGGCAGTTGAAGAAGACTTGAGAAACTTGGATCCGAAGCACCAAGTGTTTGTTCTGTCAAGATGGTAGGTCAGTGGGGAAAAAAAAGTTTGAGGGGGGAAAAAACAAAAGAAAAGAAGATGCAAATCAGAGGCTTCTGTTCAGAGAACAGTATGCAATACAATGGAGCCTTTTAATCTTACTATTTGGGGACAGCCAGTGCTGATTGGACTGGTGAAAGTTTTGTATTTCTACAGTATTTTTGTGGCTAATGGAAGAATTTTTCCTCTAGACACGCTACTGACCTTGTTCTGTTTTGTTCTTTGCTGAAATGTTATTTTATATGCCTACAAAACACATGGGTTTAAAGTAAGCGCACAAAACATACACATGATTGTGCTCTCAGTAGTAATGTGAGCAGGTGGGATGACAGGTTAGATGCTGACAGTCTTTTGGATTAGTGTAATCTGGGATGATGCGGTTGAACAATTACAGAAGTCAATTGTAATCCAGGTGAGCAATGAACAATGTAAGCATTTGGGGGGGCGGGGCAGGAACCAGTAACGTGCCATCCATATTGATGGACAGCAGTAATTTACCATTGTGTAAAACCCAAGCCAGTGCAGGAATCTGATTGTAAAAGAATCTCTGCCACAGCTGGCTAGTAAAGCTTACTTCTATGTCTGAGTGATAGCGTACCTATATGTTCAAATTCCCAGTACGTATGCTTTTCACCACTCTGGGCTCGGTAAAGTTTTTGCCCCTGCAGCATCTGTTGAGGTCGCACATTCCATCTTCCTTTGCAGTTATTGCATGGTATAGGAAATCAAATGGAAACAGAAAGAAATGAAAGAGTAGCAACAAAATTATGTTGGTTCTATTTGCACCAAGACATTCTGTCCAGATATTTGTCTCCCAGTAAATAAAGCAAGCTGTCTTCTCCTGTTTGTGATTGTGAATTCCTGCAGAATCTGTGCACAGACTTAAAGATTCACTTTTTTGGTAAAACTAGATGTCTGTCTGTCCTGTTGCAGAGAAATGTTCTGTGTTCGGGAGTGGTTCCACAGATCTCCCTCATCATGGGTCCTTGTGCTGGTGGAGCTGTGTATTCGCCTGCTTTAACTGATTTCACGTTCATGGTGAAGGTAAGGGTGGAGTATATCGTGACTTGCTGCTGGTAATGTCAATCATACACAAACTGACCCTACATGAAGGTGGTTTTTTTGAGATGGTCTCCTGCTTTGGAGTGAGCCTATTTTTCATTAAAAGTCAAGAAAAACTTTCCCAAATAACTTGTGGGTAATTGCATTTTCTGTGGTTTTTAAATATAATGCATTAAGGATTTTAAAGCAATTTGTCCCTATGTTCTACAGTTTTCTTATTTGGGGGAAAGTCTTTGTCTTCTTAGGTGCTTTTGCAGCTTGGGTCTAGCATTTACTGTGGTTTTTTTTTTTGCTTTTTTCCCCTCCTCCAGGATACATCCTATCTATTCATCACTGGCCCAGATGTAGTTAAGTCTGTTACCAATGAAGATGTCACCCAAGAGCAGCTTGGGGGTGCGAAGACGCACACTGCTGTATCTGGTGAGAGCTGGGTAGTTTACTTAACGTACTAACAGTTCTTCAAAGTAAATGACTTAGTTGTTCTAGTTAAACAGCTGATTGTCTAATACAGATTTTTGTACTCATGGGTGTCACTTGAGTCTAGGTGATAGAACTCCACTTAAGCACAGGATCTTACTCTGTATAGGCCTCTCTTGCTGGTCCTTTTTACAAATAGGAGAAGTGGGAGAGTTCTGGGATTTGGAAGAGAAAGTGACAAATCCACAAAAGATTCTAGAAGTGGGAAGGTTGTCAGAGGGCAGGGCTCAGCAGAGCAGGCTTGGAGTGGTGTGGATTTTTCTGCTTGTTCATCCAGAAATTTGCATGGGTTCAAAGATTCTTAACAATCCCTTGTTTGCTTACTAACATGATTGATTGATCAAACTTCTTAACTATAAACTGAGTGGCAGTGTGAGATTAAGTGCTTTTTTTCTTCTCCCCTCTGGGAAAACTTGGTGACTCATGAATCTTCTCGAGGCTCAGAATGACTGTGGGTTCTCAAATTCTATTTGAATTGAACTGGTGATGAACCAAAACCACACACACAGACACTGTTCTGATCAAAGTATTTATCAAAGAACTTGTCCAAAACTTGAGTGCAGCACAGTAACCTGGATTGAATTCCAGAAGGCTGGGATCCAGCGAGGTCTGTGACAGCTGGTAAACCAGTTTACATTATTTTAAATATGAGATCAACAGTCCAGCCCTGCTAAGGAGGAAGTCTGATACAGCCACACGTTTTCTAGATATTTTCAGCTGGTCAAGTTTGGTGGCTTAAAACTCCCGATTGTTAATAGCTCGGGTGTAAAAATTCTTACTGTTACTTCTTTGTATCTTCATTGGTACGTACTTGAAAATAAAACCTTGCAAAATAATTTCAATCACTGCTTAATTTTCTTTCCAGGAGTCGCACACAGAGCCTTTGAGAACGATATAGATGCTTTGCTTAATCTCCGAGAGTTCTTTAATTATTTACCTCTTAGCAACCGTGATCCAGCTCCAGTCTGTGAATGCCATGATCCCAGGTAAGAGGAGACGGGCTGAGATCTGTGGTCTCTGTCCACTGAATTTCATGGCTTCACTAGCTCAAAGAGTGTAAAGAAATGAGTGTTTTGTGCCTGGGATCTTGGCTGGTAATTCTGCATTGCGGCGTATGAGTATGGGAAGTGTTTCATTATGCATGTGTACAGACATACGTGCTCATTGATAGATTTAACTTTTTATTTTCTGAAAGTGATGCTATGCAGGCTGTGTATAGAATATGGGGAAAAGTCATTTCTGTGCAGTGGGCTGTCACAGTCCCTTGAAACAAGCAAGTGAGGCAGAAGACAGCATAGTGAGCAGAAATGGGGAGAACTTGCCCTGCTTTGTCAGTTTTGTGTCTGTTGGGCAAGTTCTGTTTGTTAAGGTTAGAGGCAGGGAAGCAACAAGGAGGCAAAGGAGGCAGAAAGCTTTACATATTAGGTACTTGTCTATCGGGCTTATTGTATAGTTGGCAACATAACAAAGGAAGGACTTGATTCATTTCAACAGGGGAAAAAGGGCAACCGTCTGGGTTTTTATCAAGGAATTTTTCCAAGAGATAGAGGGTCAGCCAGAGAGCCAGCACAGGACTGCCTTGCCAGTAGTGCTAAAGATGGAGAATGCCAGTGGAGTAAAAGCGTTTTGACCTGAGATCCAGTTGCACCCCCCAGTTCAGCCCTTTCTGTAGGGAACCCCTAAGAGGTTGTCGCCTTCTCCGGTATGGGACCCGTTCCTGAACTTGTTCCTTTCAGTTCTAGAGATCATAGAATGTTTTGGGTTGGAAGGGACCCCTAGGTCATCTAGTCCAACCCCTCTGCAGTGAGCAGGGACACTGCTAACTAGATCAGGTTGCTCAGAGCCCCATCCAACTTGGCCTTGAATGTTTCCAGGGATGGGGCCTCCACTACCTCTCTGGGCAACCTGTTCCAGTGTTTCACCACCCTCATTGTAAAGAATTTCTTCCGTATATGGAATGGTGTGATCTATGTCTTGTGGTTCTTACATGCATGAAGATTTTAACTTGTGAGTTGGGAAGGTTATCTTCTCTTCCCGCTTCACTGTTCTTGGCAGTGTCTTGGAAACAATTTGTTTGGGAGGGGTTCTTTGGATCGATTTTACAAATCACTGCTCTGGTACCTGAAATACTTTGTTCACTATTAGAGAAATAAATTTGCCAATTGCTTTTAGAGAATGGGCGGACAGGTCAATTAGTTACTGGTCCTCATTTTTTCTAAGATGCTGGTCTTTAGGAGTTTATTAAACTGGAAGACTGTTCTGATTTGATAGTGACAAACTGAAGCAAATCTCTTACATTATTTGGTACATTTGGAGGATTATCTCTGAGGTTATGTTCTTTCTAAGCACTCAACAAGTTGTGCTGGCATAATTACCCTCTATAGACTTGAATGGGATATTTTAATTTCATTACAGAAACAACAGCCTGCTTTTTTTTAATCAATATATCTTGTAATAGGCAGTTTATTTTCTTGCGGGAAGCTGTCAGCTACATTGTAGCTACTAATATATAGAGATTAGCGCTCTATTTTCGTGCGGGAGACAATCTTTTATGTAAGCACCACAGACATTATTAGAAGATCACAGTATAACAAATGCTAAGCAATTTGTACTAAGAAGTTAAATTCAGTAGTCTTTGTATACATGAAGGCAGATCTATTTGTTAAATTTGCCTGGGTTTGTAGCAGCGTCTCCAGTATTCTTCCATTTGTGGTCTGAATGCCTACATTGGTAGAATTTCATCTGGACAATATCAACATCTCAACAGACTCCTTTTGCTTTGGATTGATGTTTTTGATCCTTATCGCTGCTCCAAAGCCCTCTAGAGTAATTAATTTATTATTGCACCATTTTCATACTACAAAAAATTGCCAGTAATGCAAATTAAATGTAATGTAGCTTTGTGTTCATTGTTAAGTCCAGGGGCTGGTGGGGTGGGTTTGTTGTGTGTGGTGTTTTTTTCTCTAGGTGGGTAGGTTCTTTGTGGTGTTGAAAAATGTCAGTCTTGGTTGCTGAAACTTCTGTGGGTTTGAGTTTTTGATGCTGGTGACCGGGGTTCTAAAGAGTTAGAAAGTTCCTTACAGTACCAAGCTGACTGATGGTGAATATGTCCTCTGCCTTCGAAGGGTGTCTAGTTCGTTGCACTTGGTATATTGTATGGCGTGATTTTACCTTGATGTGTCTTTGACTATAAACAAATTTCTTTTCCTCTAAATCCTGAAGTATGCATGCAAATTTCTGGAGGAGGTTATCAAATCTTGGTAAGAGAGTAGAGTTTCCTTTTGTATTGAATGAAAACCAGTATCGATCTGGATGAGAGCGTCTCAGGCTTCAAAGGACTGCTTTGATGGTGAGCAGCAGTTCCTTCCTGACGAGTGGGATCTGTCAAACACAGTTCTCAACCTCTGAAGTCCAGTGACTCCACTAGCAAGCTCCAGATGTCCGTTGTCTGTGACGATTTGAAGGAGGTTTTGAAACTTGCGATACCCAGGGTAATGGCTTCATTTTGATGGTGGTTAGTCATTCTAATGCCGTTATACTTTCCCTCTGGACTCTACAGCACTGTGAATTGATGGGAGCAATAATTTCATTTTTTCCCCTTTCCTTATCCTTTGGGGATACCACAGGTAACGGGCAGAACTTAGAGCACATTCGTATCTACTCTATGGACACGAAAAAGTTTGAGTCTCTAGTAGCTTGGGTTTAGTATGTTAAAATTGGTTGCTTTCATCAGACTAAGGTTCCATTATGTCATTTTATGGAAGTATTTGCATGCAATACTCTTTACGCATGTGGAAAAAATACCTGAAGTGTTGCTGTCAGTTTTATTCTCTTGACAGATGTATCTCTCACTCCCTCAGCAAGTTGTGCCTCTCTAGCCCTGTCTAATTGAGGGAGCACAAGGACAGCCCTGGGGCTTGCATTATTTGGTTTTGCCTGATTTTGACAAACTGCAGATCACTTCCTTCAGTTTTAAATTGGGTGTCTAGAGCCTTGTGCTGTGTTTTAAACATACTAAATCATGGGATTGTTAAAATAGTAATTCAATAAGAACAACACAGAAACACCATTTATAACAAAAATAGATCAGTATTTTTGTGGAATAGCATAAGTATAATACTCCCTGTAGTCTTCTCAGTGGTGACTCATAAAAATTGACACCTCCCCAGTGGGACTGTGAATGAATCCACAGGCCCAGTGAATGTGAACATTCGTAGGTCCTTAATGAAGCTAATATGATCAAAGATGGAGGTCACTGATTGTGGCAGCTGCTAACAGGGCGGCAGCGTTGTGGTTAAATGTAAAGCTCCACAGGAAGGGCATTGCTGTTGAGTTAAGCAGAGTAACAGTAAAGATTATTTAAACACAGCCATTAAACTGAAGAAGCTGAGAGCGGATGTGTGTTTTTCCTGTGGTTGAGTGTATTCAAAATCACAAGTGCACAACGTGGGCAGGGAAAAGATCAGAGTTGTAAATGAGCAGCTCCTAAACTCAGCGTGCACAGGAGATCCAGGTGTATGACAGGGAACCTTGCTCTGCTGTTGGGAGAAACCATTTTGCCTGTCCAGCTGTACAGGCTGGGGCCCCCTCCCCCCTGCCACTTGACACTTGTTCTACCAAATCCTTTTCCCCACTGCCACTTGTGCCCAGAGGCTGGGTCCAACACACCTCCAGTGCCCCCTGCAGACTGCCATTTGTAGCATTTGCCAGCTCTCAAGTTCCCTGATGATGTTCCACATGTGTCATCTTGGGCTCTTCTAGTCAAAGAGGAGAAATGGTATCTCCAGGAGATGGTTCTATAGGCAGAGGTGCCTACAGAAGAGAGGTCTCCTTCAGGAAGAGATCGGTCAGGCTGTTGCCCTCCTGCTGTGTGAGGGCTCAGTGGCCTGAGGCACAGCTGGCCGAGACCAAAAGGTGCCTCAGCAAGGTGGAATGGTGGAATTGTTTGCGTGAGTTTTTTGTCTTGGTATTCACCTGACCTGTAACTACTTCCTTCCTTTCTCAAGTGACCGTTTGGTTCCTGAGCTGGACACAGTTGTCCCAATTGAATCTACTAAAGCCTACGATATGCTGGATATCATACACTCCGTAAGTCTGCTAGTGTGAGCATTGTTGAGATGAATACAGATGTATTGTATTCTGTGTGTAAATAATTGAAAGAAACCAACAGAATGGCACTGAAGATGTGGGGTTTTTTAGTCTTTGCAAGTTACTGGTTTCACCTGTACAGAAGGGACAACAGAA